TGGAGCCAAAGATGAATGGAGTGAGTCACATAATTTAATACATGGACCAGAGAGATCTGTTTTGAAATTTCATTGCACAGCTAGTTAATTGGTCAACTTGGCTAATAACTTGAGCACTTGCTTCCTGGCTGTCCAATCTGTGTGTGCACATGCATGTGCATGTGTGTGCGTGTTTGCATTCAAACTGCATTGTATAAATCTGAGACTTTTAGAATCTGAGACTATCAGGTCTTGTTAGAACTCTTCCTACCATAGTCTCACTTGGGAAAACAAAGAGTGAAAAAAGATGAAGAGGTGTTTCAGCTGGATAACAGAGGAGACAGGACTGGGCCAGGTGCTCATAATCCTGTTAAACCACACAGCAGCCATTAGCTAATTAATTTTTCATTTCCTCCCACAGGATGACCCAGAATTCAACCTGGATTAAGATTAAACAGACTGCACTTCATCATCTTTTTATTTTTCACTCTTTCTTTTTTTTCCTGGTCTTAACTTTCTCCTCCCATGAGTCCTCTTCTTCCTTCTATTCTATTTGTAGAAAACGTTTCCCACACATGGTCCTTTGTATAGTATTCATGACATTTTGTCAATGTGGTTAATTCCCTCATCTGGACGCCTGCTTGGAGGAAGGTTTTGTATTATTTTTGGCTTGGGCATCCATTTCCTGCCTATGAGTGACAACCGAGACTGCCTCCCAAAATGCCCCATGGTGCTGATAAGAGGAGCTGGCAAAGGGCAAGAGAGAAGGCACAAGGAGAGGTGGAGCCATCCAGGCTCAAGGGAATCTACCTACCTACATGGCAAGACTCTGATATCTGAGAGGAGAGCTAAGGATTCATTCTCAATATGCATTCATTGTGATGAAAGTACCTGACATCTGGGGACTCAGGATGGCTACCTTGACTAATTAATGGCATTGGATGAAGAGGTGACATAGGTAAATTGACTTTTTTCACTGTTTCTCCAACATCAGATGGGAGCCTGGATAGCAGGGCTCAAGATGTCTGAACTTCCTGGCATAATATTAGGTCAAAATATGCAAAAATTGTTTCTAAGTGTCCTGAATGGGGAGAACATCATTCACACTAGAGCCCTCTTCCACCTCTTCCACCACCTAAGGAGAAGTTGGCTTTGAGAGCATGTGGCATCTTTCTGACTATGTGTTATCAAACTTGGATGGGTTTGCTCTTCTGGAATCTGCAGCACATCAGTACACTAGAGATGATGATGCCTGGTGGGAGAAAGGCGCACATGAAGGGCCATCAGGCTTCTTCCAGCTTTGGGTGTCTGTGGATGGCACCTTCCCACTCCTTATCCGTTATTTGGTCCAGACAAGCATTTTTATAAATGGAGATTTAGCAGATGGTATCCATTTAGAAAACAGATCAAAAGAGCCACTGCCTTCTGAAACAAACAAACAAACAAAAAAGCAGAAGGAGTAAAATAGAGAAAAATGGTAAAGAGTCTATGTGACTTCTAAGCTTTAGGTGTGTTGTAAGGGGGCTAATAATATACAATGCATCCATCTGCTGGGCCAGGGGGGTTGGGGAATGAATGATTTTCCAAGCAGGAAAGAGGAAATGGAGTGTGCAACTATTGCTATTGCTAAATGAAGTCTCTAATTTCTGTCTCCATAATGGTAATGACTTCCATTTATATGGTGTCTTCCGTCAGCTCTGATCTCAGGGAATGCTCAAAGTCCTCTCTTGACTTAGCTCCTAAATCTGGTCCTCAACAGGCTAAAGGATGGCATTTATATTTATGTCATAACTATTTTAGAAAAGACTAGCTTATGTGAAATAGGACACTGGGATGCTAAGGGAATGAATTCAGAGAGGAGAAAGAAAAAGTAGAGGGAGAGAAGTTGTAAGGAATACTGATGCCTTTTTCCAAGCAGGACACTCAGTATCATTCCTGGAAGAGACACCTCAACTCAGGTAAAGTCTCTTAAAGGTCTTAATGCCTCCAGTAACCTCAGCCTCATTTCCACGTGCCTTCCACCTTTTAATGGGACTTGGGATTTGGTGCTCCTTGAAGTGTATCACATTAAGGTGAGCACTCTTCAGGGAATCTTGACAAACTCTGACATCGAATTCCAAGAACTGCTAAAGGCATTTTTCCCCTGATGCTTTGGGGGTTCAGAAATAGGAGGGACATTTGGAATACAGGTGAGAAGAGGCCAAGGCTTAGAAGGGAGGGGAATGTTAGAGAAACTGATCTCTTCCAATAAGACATTCAACAAGATGTACAGGGACAATAGACATAACTCATATAGACATAGAAACCACCAATTATGGTTCATTAAAACACTGAAGAAAAAATCTCATATAACACAGAGTAAGCACAAAGCAGTAGTGAAAATAACTCTGAGAACTGGATTGCAGTAAGAACAGAGGTGGAAGCCTGTCCATGTAGATGTTTCCAGGCTAATGTCTAGAAAAGGTTGGGCCATAAGGGGTCCTTTTTTATTGGTTGGGAATTGAATAGAGGGATGTGGTCTTTTCTTAATTACTCCCTTCTGCAATTATCATATAATCACTGTGAAGATGCCTTAGGGAAAGGCATGTAATTGGGGAATAGATGGATATCTGAGAGGAAGGGCCATGGGGGATTATGTGAGCACTGAGCTGAGGACCAGGACCTGTGTTCTAGAGTTGCCTTAACTATTTGTGGCGTGTGTTCGAGCTGCAATGCAATGGCCAAAGCGCTGCGCTTAAAATCGCATAAGTAATGGGTTTCTAAACCTGAGCAGGTCACTTGATCTCTGAATCTCAGTGTCTTTGTAAAATAGGAATAAAAATACCTCTCTTCTAAGATTGCAGGGTAAGTGCCATCAAGAAATGCATGTGAAATGGCCTTAAGAACTGAAACATATTATATAAAAGAGCTCTGGCCCAACCCTGTCAGGTACAGATGAGTAGACACTATCCCAAAGAGACAGAATGCCATGCCTAAGGTCCTACGTAACAGAGTTGGGCATAGTACCCACTTTTTAGATTGAACCCAGCTTTCTTTTATGACACTGTCATAATGCCAATTTCTTTTCACCTGATGTGGTAGAGTGAAGAACAAATAAGAAGATAGGGAGAGGAAGGGGAATTTTGAAGAGAGTAATGGCCTTCATGTGAATGCAACCCAGACAGAGCTGTATGACTAGAGGGTGGGCACCTTCAGAGACACACAGGGATCAGAGATGGATCTCTAGCTGGGAAGCTTCATGAAGTCAATCAGCACCTGGCAATCCAGTCCAACCACAGAAAAATCTTGGTAAGACTGCTGAGAAACCTAATGAGCAATGATGGATAGAGGTTTTAACTTCTAACATCTTGCTTCTCAGGTCTGTTAGGTTAGGATCCTTGCTTGTAGGTTCTTAGTAATAACATGCCACCATTATTTTTTTGCTAAATAATGCCAAGAAAATACAAAAATTAAGAAAACCCTCTGTCCTTGGCTGGTTTTGGACCTGTGGATCAATTTCAACATATTGAAAGAGAAAGCAATATTTTTTCTCAATGTAAAAGTTTAATCTAGCAGCTCCTGTTCAGGTGGGATTAATTTGGGCTCTGTGTAAAAACACCCAAGTATCTTCAACAAAGTCTGATGATGAGAAACAGAAAAAACCCAGAAGAGAACATCCACTTTGGGCAATCATGAAGTGTGGGTCATTTATCACCTTCAGCAGGAGACATGACTGCTAATTGGTCTCTTCATTAACCAAGGAGAACATCCACCACTATAGCAATGCACAAGCTAGTGGCAATTTGGGGCAATCCTTCAGTGGTTTCCAACTCATAATCATATTTCAACTGAAGTCTGCTGGCCTAGAAAAATGACTCTGATTCCTCATGAATACACTGCCCTCACCTTCACTAATGATTGACTACCCGGGAGGGAAGAGGACGAAAAAGGGATACACATCACAAACAGAGGAGAAACACTACACCCAAACCTGATGTAAAGATGATTAGTCTTTTAAAAGCAGGCTACGGCTGGAGTGCTTTGTACTATGTGAGGGTAGGGGGAGCGGGAGAAATCCTTTCCTCTGTAGCTCCTAGAAAAAGAACTTCTACTCTTTTCCTTGTAAACAACTGTTCTGCTCTACAAGGATCTTATCACTTCTGTGATGTGTGGAAGGGACAAACAGATACTTATACTGAAGTATCAAGCTTCTGTGGCAAGGAAGGCCTGTGTGTGGGGAAGTTAGCAAGGAAATTCTGCCAGCAACTGACAAGGAATGAGCTCTTTCTAGTAGCAACCAGTACTTCAAGTTTAGAGATTAGTGGGGAAAATCCCATTCCCAGCAGACATGCCAAGAGACAGAGCAGTAAGGTCCCATTGGGCAGGAGGCTCACAATACCCTTCAGCCAGACTCCCTCCCCTTTGTGTGGGGAAATGATAAGTGGGGTCTGCTCAGGGCTGCTTATCAAATGCCCATAGACAAAAAGAAGACAAGATAGCCTGGAATTATGGCTCCCTCATTAGGTAGACTTGAGGATGCCCCGGTGGGCAGCTTCCAATGGCTCTGCCACAGACTTCTCACCTTGGATGTGGGACCTCTGGAGGTAGCATGCCATGTAAACTAGATATTGCTCCCATCCAGCATTGACATTCTTAAGATCTTGTTGGCATTCTTAGTGAGTTTTAGAGGTTTTATCCCACTAGCAAACTGCATCATCAGATCAGATGAGGACTTAAGAATAGCATCTCTAATAAAAAGCATACACACAGTGGGTGTGGTTTGTAGTCTAGGTAGCTACTGGGGCTGTCTCTGGGCCCATGGCTCCCAGGCAGTAACTCTGAGAGGAAAGACAGTAAATACCAAATAACAAATGTATAAATTGTGCTGCAAAGTCACATGTGAAGAACACCCATATCCACCTGGTCTCTACCTCTCTGCAAACTTGTGAATGCAATGTCTCAATGATGGCAGACTCCTGACATGCAAAGCCCAGCAACGAAATACTAAGACAGCCCAGGTCTGAGGAGAAATGAGGCCTTACCTGGAGATAGGGAGGAGTCGTAAGAACTTCTCTCCTTGCGGCTCATCTTGAAGGCTTGGATGTCCTTTTCCCTGTATGTCCCAAAGCCCTCATAGCTCCTCCTTTTACTCCCACTCATGTCACTGTCCCACTTGTCATTTGAAGGGGTCATGTCACTGAACACATCCAGGCTCTCGGATCTGGTGCTGCCACCGTCCCCACCACTGCCAGAGTACCTCTTTGTGCACGAGTCTGCAGGCTCACCGCTCAAGTCACCTTTGTCCTTGGCCTGTGTCCAATGCTGGGCATCAGAAAGTGACAGCGTAGACAGGGTGTCCACCTCAAAGTTGTTCTTGGAAGCTTTGTGGCCGGCTTCACTGTGCTGGTGCTTCTGCTTCTCCTTATGCTTATTCTTCTCACTCACTAGTGGGAGTTCCTTATCAGCACTACTCAGCCGCTCGCTAAGGATATGGCTGGAGAAGCCTGTGGCTTTGCCTGCAAAGAGACCGCTCAGGTTGTCATGGGTCCCCAGGATCCGGTCTTCCTTGTGCTTATGCTTGTGTTTGTGTTTTCTCTTGTGGAGCCGACCGCCGGACAGACCGGCACTGCCCGCCTTGGGAGGATTCAGGGATGGCTGAATGTCACTGAGGCCCATGCCAACAGGTCCCTGCAGGTGCACTCCATGCTTGGCTTTATGCTTAGCTGTACCAGACATCTTCACGTGGGAGCTTGTGTGGAACTGAGGTGGTGGCACTGTTGGCCTCATGAACGGGGACGCTGCTCCGAGCGTGTGCGACAGGTACAAAGGAGCTGGGTACTGACTGTAATAACCAAGGTTCATCATAGGCATTGATGTGTAAGGCATTCCATAGGGTGCATAGTAACTTCCACTGGGAATAGGGTAGCTGAACCCTTGTAAAAAAGGCACCTTTGTCATGGTGTCATTGGTTTTTGCAGGCCTACCACGCTTCTTCTTTGACTTCAGGTCTGAAGTCCTGCGAAGATAGAGCAATGGGTCATACTGGATATACGGCACCGGGTAATAGTGATCGAAATTAATCCGAAAAATGCTGGGATACGGATTCTCGTGGTAGAAGGTGTAACTCCGGTGGGAGATCCTGAACACCTGGAACTTGGTGATGAGCTCTTCCAGGTCTGCCAGAAACTGAAGGTCATCACGATTTTGCAGGCTTTTCCGTTTCCTCTTGTGCTTTGGCTTCTTGAGGCTTTCGTGGGCCAGGAAGTTGTCCACCATGAGATGCTTCTGCCGGTGGCCATGCCGGTTCTTTGTGCTGGTGTCAGACGGAATGGTCTCCGGGTTGTCCAGGGAGCAGAAGTCAAAAGAATACCTCCGTCGGGATTCTGAACTCTTCTCCGCTTGGTCAGACGTGCTGTTGTTGTCTGTCCCAATGCCACTGTCGCTTGGGATCGTCTCCTCACTGTGTGACTCGCTCACAGGGGACAGCGTTATTTCCTTGAGTGACCCAATCTCGCAAAGGTGGGAAGGTGAGTTGGCCATCAGCCTGGGGGGAGACAGCTTCCAGGCTCCACTATGTATTCCCTTTTGGGTTTTGGTTGGAAGAGCACTGATAGGCTGGAGATTTGGCATAGTTTTCAACTCTGAAAAATTGGTTTCAGTGCTGGCGGGGCTCAGGTTGCCATTTGACCCACCTAACTGTGTTGAAAGTGGGTGCATAGCTGCTGGTGAAGACGCCACAAGTGACTGAAAGTTGGAAGGCACGGCTGGAACATCCGGCTGGCTAGAAACAGGCCTTGGGTGCTTGATGGCTGTTTTGGGTTCCTCAGATGGGGGTGGCAGCTCTGCTCTTGGCTTCCTGCCCCTCTTCTTGCCAATGTAGATGGTTCCCCTCTTGCTGACATTAATCTGCTTGCCCAGTTTGCTCTCGATGGCTGCTGCCCCAGGACTGGTCTCTGGGGGAGCTTTAGCCTTCAGAGCAATGTTGCTGGAGCAGGACAAGATCTGGTTTAAGATATTTTTCCTCTTGAGTGTTTTCATCTTATTGATAGTTTTAATGGTCTTCTTATCCAACACCCCAAGCTTTCCAACTTTTTTGTGAAATTTCATCTCGCTCATGGGCTTGTCCTCTCCTGGCACTAGTTGGGCCAACTTAGCTAAACTGCGTCGTCTCTTTCTTTTCTTCGTGCCAGGAAACTCCCGGCTGATGGGACTAACCGGGCTGGTAGAAGTCCCCTCGTGAATTGTCTCAACCGTGAGCAAAGGCTGCTTTTTCGGCCGTCCTCGCTTCTTCTTGACTGGCGTGATCACAGTAAGACTGTCTGTGTTGGTGTACAGAGGGCTGGATGGGGTGATGGGATAGGCAGATGGCGGTTCCACCATCAGTTTATCGGAGGTGGCCATGACTGCCTCCCGAAGCATACTGGTGGGCTTTGGTTTGCTGCATGTCCACCTCCGTTTTGCAGCAAATTTGGGATGCTGGATTTCTGGCAGCTTTCTCGATGGAGAGTGGTCCGTGCACGCTGGAGGCGTCACGATCATGGGTGGCTTCCGCTGCTTAGACACACCACCTGGAACGACTTTCTCGGCATCGCCACCTGTTTCAAGGCCAACTGAGGGGGACTCGTTCTCTATCATTTTACTCAACTTAGGGACACGAGGATCTTTCTTATTTCCCTCAGGGTTGGAAAGTATCCTGTTAACCACTTCACTGCTCATAGTGATTCCAGAAGCCAGGGCTTTCTCTGGCATGATCTTTTCCACCACTGCTTTGATGGACTGTCTCTTCTTCCTCTTATGGCTGGTTGGATCTAGACAGGGTGCCTTGATAGGGATAGTAATCCGGACATGACTTGAGTCATTTTCAGGATTACTGACAGAACTCGTGTTCTGCCTGGCTGGTGATGCCTCTTGGGCATTATCTGCAGAGTAGCCTTCCCTTTTCCCTTCTGTATTGTCAAATGCTTTCTGGGCATTCTTGACCCAGTCCAGGTCTGGGTTTGATATGGTTTGACTTATCACATCTTTTTTACTGGACTTTTTCTTGCTGCCTATAGTAGGTGGTTCTGGGGGCTCCTTCACAACTCCGTTATCTTGATCTACCAAGGGCTGAAGCCCGTTGCACTCGACAGAGCTGCTGGGTGGGGCTGGTGAGCTGTGGCTGCCTGGGGATGGAACCACACCTCCCAAGAGCAGATCTTTGCTGCTGTTGGACAACTGACTCCATGTGCTCCCTGCACTGCCTTTTTTACCCTGGACCTTTGCAAAGGAAGCCACGGGCTCAAGAGCGGGGATCTTGCTGGTGCTTGCAGTTTCTCTGCCAGACTCTGGACTGATGAAGCAATTCTGAGTGGCAGGTCCACTGTCAGAGTTGGTGGACCAGTCCATGTGGTTCTGGCTGCTGCTTTTTTGCTGGTGCTTTGGTTTTAAGGTGTCACTGGTGACGTCCTGTGGGAGGCCTGGGTCATAGTGGAGAGCTGAGTGTTTCTGTGGCCGCTCGTAAGCCTAAGGGTGAGGAGGGTAGAGAAGGAGAGAGAAAGAGAAATAAAGATGAGCATGTTGGAGCTATTTAAAATTCAATGTCAAAAGGCTTAATTGTTTTAAAGTTGGAAATGGCCACCTTTAATTCCAGAATGCATTTGAAGATTTTCTCATTTGCAGAAGTAAAAATATGTTGCACTGATTTGGAACATTAATAAGGATGCTTTAATCACTGTCTTTCCCCCCTAAACAATTGGAGCTTTTATCAATCTTGGTTGAATGCAGTCTCAGACTAGAAGACAGGCCCTGCAGGTCACTTAACTCGGTGCCTGACTTGTATGCATGAAAAAGCTGAAACAGGGAGTCCTGCCCATGGTGGCAGAGCCCAGGAGAGAATGTGAACTTCCCAACTCCCTGGTCCCTTTGCCGAACTCCAGCTGCCTGTTACCTCTGTTCCCGCTTCCCCTCCAACTCGCGTCTTTCCTTTGCTTCTCCTACTGAAGTTCATTTCTGTTTGCACTTGACCTGGGAGTTTAGCATCTCTGTGCTCAAACAAGTAGCTCACTGGGAACTACTGCACCCAGGGAACCAAAACAGCACAAGCTGAGGAACTGAGGGGGGGATAGGAAGACCGTATGAGGGAAAGGAAGTCAGTCAAGGACATGGAGAAGAATTGGAGCAAGGAAGAAACTTGAAAAACCTTCCACCTTTCTGACTTTTAGGAATGGTGTGGTGTTGGGAGTTAGCACGCTAAAGCATCCTGAAGCCCAGGTTAGGCACTGACAGCTCTCTTGAGAAAACCCCTGAACAATTTCAGAAGGAACTTTGAGTCTCCTGAACAAATGGGCCGAGAAAAATAAACACATGGTCACTCAAGATCACTTCTCCCAACTCTGTCAGTTGTGCATTTCCCAGCATGAATTCTACAGGAAAGTCTCCAGACTTCAGCACTTTCCTCAGGACTGAGTCTTCAGTCGGGAAAGGCAGAATGTGTGCTAAAGGCCTCACATAGCCAGGGCCTACTAAGTCACAGAAGGAGAAGATAGTAAACACCTCTTTTTAAGATATTAAAAGTTTTTTTTCTAAGGCTTATTTATTTTTGAGAGGGTGCGCAAGCTGGGAAGGGGCAGAGAGAGATGGGAACAGAAGATGTGATGCAGGCTCTGTGCTGACAGCAGTGAGCCCGATGAGGGGCTTGAACTCATGAACTGTGAGATCATAACCTGAGCTGAAGGTGGATGCTCACCAACTGAGCCACCCAGGTTCCCAAGACATTACACATTTTTAATGTAGATACGCTTACTGCAGATAGATTTTAAGCCATGCTATCAGTACAAAAGAACCATTCTACAAAGTTTATCATAAGTACTATTTTATACATACATGCAGTAAATGTACAGAATGCATTATCCTAAGATGTGTTAAAGAATGGAAAATACTAGTAAATTGAAGAAAGCTTTGGATAATATCTCCACTGAGAAATAAATGATGGTTGACTTAGTGGACTCAGGGAGTTGTAACCTGTAATATGTATCTGTCTTTATCTGTGTATCTACCCATGTGTCTACCATCTATCTGTACCTATTTGCCACTGATGCTCTAGCATTTATGCTTCATAAGAAAACATTGCTTATAGTCCCTATTAAGAATCAAAACACAGGTGTCAGAAAACATTATGGGTAAAATTCAGTGCAATAAAGCAAGTAGGGTTTTTGTTTTTTTTTTTCCACCCTGGTACCTGGTATCTCTAGGGTTATTTTATGCCTCCCTGATTTTGTGAAATCCTGTTTATACTTCCAATATTGGACTCTGTTTTTTAAGTATCATGAGAGAGTCTCCTCAGGCTATGCCTATAAGTGCCAAGGAGAAAATTAAGACAAAAATTTACTTTTTGTATTTACTTTTTTCTTCATCTTGCAATATTTAGGGGACATCACCATCATCAACATCTAGTCTAATCTTGTACTTGACTTTGCTAGAAATTACTGCTGTGGACATAAGCTGCTGTCTCATTAAAAAAAAAAATACAGAAATCTCATTCATGGCATAAAATGTTGAATGCCACTTATCTTTTATGAATCAGGGCTCTACTAATTTGTCATTTGTGCTTTAGATTTTGGTTGGCACTGTGTGTATACTCACAGGATGACAGGTCTACAAAAGGGCTTGGGAACAAAATTTTCCACTCTTTAGTGCAATAGCATAAGTGGTAACTCATACTAGAATACTTCTGAGAGTTAGTGTTGGTACTTCCTAAACATTATAGTGCAAAAAAAATCTGAGTTCCTAGTTTGGACTCTGGCAAAGCAGGACTTACAGTCACCCTGTTTCCCCTGCCTCCTCACTTTCTTACCACCCCTCTACACTTTTCTAGATCTGGTCTTTGAAATCCACAGCAGGACTTCATAGTGAAGCTGGAATTTTTGGCCCCTTATCCCACCAGTTCCCTTAACTGCTCCATCTTTTTCTTCCTGGAATGTAGCAGAATCCTTAACTAATACTCTTCATGTTCGAATCTCAGTTCTATTGTAGGGAGGCCCTCTACCTTACAGAAATACTCCTGTTAGAAGTTTTCATGAAAACGGTACGTCGTCTTTATTGTACTTTTATTTTAGTTTTAATTTTACATTTGATTTGTGCATTAATTGAATTAATGCCCATTTCCCTTTCTAGCCTGTACACACCATCACACAGGTACCAAGCACAGCGCCTGGCAAATAGTAGGCACTCAACAAACATTTATTGAATAAATGAAGGAATACACATTTTGCTCTGGGTATATTTCATTTTTATCAATAGTGAGATTAATGGCCTATATATTATAACATATTGTCTGCAAACACAGTTACCCCCTGCAGTCTAATTTCTTATGCCATTCCTTCTGCATGCACCATTGTCTCTCATAAAGACATCGATCACAATCCTCATAATGCTTTGTGCCATTTATTTGTGTACTCTTCTGTCTCCTTCTCCTCGACTGTAAGTACTTTGAGGTCAGAGACTCATTTATCTTCTTATCCCTTGTGCCTACTACAAAGCAAACCACCCAGAAAGTTCCCAGTAAATGCTTGTTGAGTGAATAAACAAAATCATGTATGAAATGCCTATTGTCATGACAAAATAGGTGGCTGCACACAGAAGATAATCAACTTTTAGTCATTCATTTGATAATGCTCATAAGGAAATTGGAGCGCTCAAATGCATTAGGTGTTGAACAACAAACAAAAAAATTCTTCCCAAATACTTAAGGACTAAAGGCATTTGCAAGGTAACTCCCTTTCAATGCAATTTTTACTGCTAGTTCTCCCTCATCTCCTGTTAGTTATTTCACTTTCCAATTAACCCTGCCTTTGGGGAAGGCCATGTGACTGTCAGGAGGGTAGATTTCACTCTGGCAGTTGAAAGGTGGGGTCTGCTCACTTACACCCAGGGCAGACCGGCTGAAAGTAATGCAGTTAAGTGTGCCTGGTTCCCAGTGCCTCCATCTGGACACTGCCTGATCTCATTGTTTCTACCATTTCAGCCGCAATTTGCCCTGCTGGGAGAGCTGCACAATCAAAGGGCAGGGTGGACAAAAGAGAAGCACAACAAAGGATCAAGACTAATGGGGGGAAATGGTGCTTTAAACCCTGCACTGAGCTGGGCTGCAGTGAAGGGGCAAAGAGAACTGAGAAGGACTGCTCTCTAAGGGGTCCGGGAGAACATGGCTTTTCTCCAGTCTTGGCTGATGGCTATATCCCGTTGCATTTCACGGAATCCCATTTCTTCATCTGTCAGCCATGACATATTATATACACAATGGTAAGGCTGTCAGTTCCAATATGTCCTGCACTGAGAATGGAGTACTTACTCCATTGAGACAGAGATGGACGTGACAAAACAGGCCCCTAGCTCAATGCTGGCTGGGGCAAGTGAGGGGCTCCCCCTCCCACCCTTCCAGCGGTCAGTCTCCCTGTGGGGGTCTTTGACTGAGGGCTTTATTGACCCACTTAGCACATGTTTCCATTTCCCCCGTAGATTCTGCATTTTTCGGGAATGAGACCTGAATCTTTTAAGGCCTCTTTGCTACCTTTCATCCATGGCAGGAGCATTGCCTAAAATGGATACCAAATAAGGGGAGGCCTGATGGTATTCTACATTGGGCTGATTATTTTTGTGGAACGCTTTAAGTACCAACTAAGTCCCAGCATATCTCTTGGCTGTTCCCTCCCCACTGCCCCATGAATTTTTTTGTAAAACATACAGTCACTTTGAAGTTGTGGCTTACTTTTATAAGAAAAATGCGTTCCATGCCCATTCAGCCTAGATGCCAAATGCTCATCACTGAACCTCCATTCTGAAAACTAGACAGATATGTCTTCTAAAGGATGTGCTTATACAAGCAGGTTCTTCTGCAATGTGAAGAATTATTTTGTAGTGGCTACCTATCCCCTTCCCTACAACCAATGTATAATAGATCATATACATTTAAATTTTGCATAAGTTAGATTACTTTGTAAAGAGCACTTGATTTTTGTCAAGAACAAGCATGAGATCGCTGCATAAAAACTTGAAAAATCCATAAAAATGGGAAGAAAATGAGTCACCCAGTCTTATCTATGGCTTATCTAAAGTAAGGGTTGTCACAGTGAGAGAAGAGGGCTATTTGGGTCTGAGAAAAATCATATAACTCATCAAAAATCAAGCATGACTTTGTGGGAGATAAACTACTCTTTTGGGTTAGCTGTGTTTGTGCTACTTTCTGCTGACACTGATAATTTAAATTTACTGTTTGTGAGATATTTTGCTTTACAAGAGTAGGAAAATATGCCTGGGTATGAAGGGATGGGGGGAGCTTTTGCTCTGAATTTGGCAATTGATGCTTCTCAAGATGGGATCCTGGATTGCTGTACCAGAACTATCTAAGGTACTGGTTATTAATACAGATCCTTGGGACCCACTGCAGATCTACTGATTGTAACCTTCTAGAGTAGGACCAAGGAATGGCATTTTAACATGCTCTCCAGACAATTGTGAAGCACAAT